GTGCTGCAGGCGCCTCCAGGACAATCTCATAGGAAATATTCTCTAAAGTTGGGTCATGAAATTATTAGAAGAACAGTGCATAGATTGAAAAAGAGAAAGATATAGTTGATTCATGGGTGCCTTCGGATGAGGAAAGGAAAAAAAAAAAAACAAAGCAGGCTCGGCCTTTGCTACAAAGCGAAAAGAAACTTAGCAGATTTCTCATCAAAGTGTAAAGAAGCCTCTGGGAAAGAAACAGATTGATGCTACCAAGTTGTTTAAGATAATAGCTACCTCCAAAGCACAAAGCTGTGGTTGGAGGTTAAGGAAGAAAGTAGCCTATGAGCAATTTACACAGAATAGCTACAAAAGAGACCACATCGTTAGAGGTAGGAATGAAAGCGTGTAATGACAGCTAGTTATTTTATTTTATTTCTTTAATTCAAGGAAAACAGAAGGCACAGCCACTAGCTAAATTAAGAAGAATAAGATGAAGACATATGGATAGATGGGATTCAGCCCTGGGGAAAAACAAATCAGCCTTTAGTGTCCTGGGGTGAGGAAGAGCAAACCGCAATGGGCCATATGTCCTCACCCAACCACAGAAGAGAAGAAGGAGGATTCAGGACGAGCAAAGTCCTGCATCGAGCACATTTCGGACCATCCCTTCAAGTGGGGTCACATGACATCCTGCTGGGGATGCACCCCAAATGGGGATGCCCATTTTCTCCGGAGAGTAGCATCAGAGCAGGGGATGATACAGGGCTCTCCAGGGAGAATTTCACAGCCCTTCAGGAAAAACAATGGTTTTGCTCTTTGAAATTTCGTGTGTTGCTAGTCAAAGAAGGGAAGACGGTGTCAGCACACCCTGTGCAAGGGGCAGGGGGTGAGAGGAGGAGAAGTGAGCATCCTGGGGGCACCACAACATCCAGTGGTGATGACATACGTAGGTGGCTTTTCATCCTTCGGTTTCACTGCCAGTAAGAATCCTTAGAGTTTCTCAAAATCCTCAGGCTGTCACAGGTCAAATACCAAAGCCAAAATTTTCTTTCTCTGTAGGTCTTTTTCCCCGAAGAAGAGACACCAAGTAAGTGAGACCTGAATCATCACGAAGTTACAGTGGTGTAAAACCATGGAAAAGCAGAGCAGTCAATCAGGTGCCAGGTCTCAGTTGCCCTCACTAATTTCTGTTCAGGCCATTGTGGAGTTCAAATAGCTATTTGGGACACTTAGAAAACGAAGATAAAATGTATAAGGCACCACAAGAGTCTTACAGAAAGGCGCACAGCATCACCAAATCCTTCTCATTTTTAATATTTCCATTTCTCCTCCTAAACTTTTTCTTTAAACTGGAAAATAATGAGAAAATGTGCTTCCATGAGACAAGCTGGTACTATCAGCTAAGCAACCTCACATTCATCGTAGCACTCCAAGTACTCTGGAATGCTTTTCAGCCCAAAGGATAATAGTATTAGACAACCAGAAAGGCTGTCCTGTAAAAGACTGTTATTATGATTTCCAGTCTCAGAAGTTGGCTTAATCCAGCTGAGCACACACATGTTATTTAGAGAGGAGACTGAGCTCAGACACTGGTATCATCGTCATCTTTATTGCAAATGAAGAATTCAGCTGGTGAAAGGCAAGTCACGTTTTTTTTTTGTCCTAAGCCCTGCAAACACTGGCTGTTGCACTCGTCTTTGCCCACCGCGGCGAGCGTCTGGAGCTGCTGAATGCTGGGCTGTTTGTTCAGATTTGCATCCGTCTAAAAAACCCTGTTTTCTCTCTTGTCACCTAATCAATCAAATGGCAAAAGATGCGCTCCCTGCACCCTCCAAGGAAAACAGACACAACCCCACACAAAAGGCAAAGCGTGAGCACAGGGGTTAACTAGAGGTGGTAAGCTGAAAATTGTGTAAGGGGAGCATTTTTTTCCCTCTTCTGTCTGCTTGAAATTTCATGCTGCTTTTCCTCTGCCTGTGGAACAAAGAAAGAAGAGGCAGTGATGCTCTGAGTTGGGGGAAAAAAAAATATCTGGGATTGGTGTCTGCATGAGAAAAAAATGTTTGGAGGATTACTCAAGGGATTTGCACCTTGAGTCGAGAAGGAAACGCTGCACAGCTTCTCTCCCAGGGTTTGGGCAGAACGTCTCCCTCCTGAAGGACTGGTTCTCCCACCCACATCTCCCCACACGAGCAGGACCCATCTCACCCTCCAGCTCACCAAGAACTGGCAGCCAGGTGCCCGTCCCTGCAGATTGGCTGGTGGCTGGCACCATTGCTTGGGATCATGAGTCTGCCCAAGCCAAAACCAGCCAGGGCCACCGCTGCCCCATCAGTCAGGTGGGGGTGAGCCCTCCCACCCCATCCTTCACCCTCCACGGGATGATGTTGCTCTTCACCACACGCCGCCCTCACAGTATCTGGAGTGAAGGTACCTCTGCAAATATCCAGCAGAAGTGTACTAATTACACCTACTCGTTCTCGCACTGACACTGTCTCTGCTAACACTCCTCCTCCACACCGTGCCCTTGGCCACCCTTTTGCTAGCCAAAATGGCATGGCCTCCCTCCATCCTTCTACTGGCACCCCGGGGAAGGAGCCATCAGGTGGTCGGATGGATACCAGGATGGGGGGACAGCTGCTCCCTCACCTCAGTCGCAGGGAAACAGCTCAAAGGAGCCGAACCCCAGCGAGCAGCAGCTCTTCCCGGGCAAGCGCTCCCTCCCTGGCACGTTTTCCCAGGGGAGACGAGCACAGAGGCCTTAAAATAAATCTGTCTTTTTAAAGCAGCGATGCTAAATGGAGGTTTGAGATCAAAGGCTGGGATTCTCACATTTTGCCAAGACAGACATATCCATTCACGAGATTTTTGGTGTAACAAAATACTTGCTAATGAAGAGGATCATAATCTTATTATTAGCCCCAACCTACAACAGTATGTCATTCGAGAGCAGGGCTAGAATATGCCCTAGTTTAGGAAGTTGCACAGTAGGCTTCGTTTCTGATTTAATGAGCTGTGATTGTGTTTATTTTCGGCAGCAATTATGCCCGTTAAATTTTTGTTTAGGGTCTGATCGTCAACGACAGTCATCGACAGGAAGGATGAATTTGGGTTGAAGGGAAGGGAAATGGGGAGAGGGTCTCTGGGATTCGGTCCCCGAGCAGACAGATGTGAGGCAATCAGCGAGGCCTGAGTTTTCTTCACTTTTGTGTTGCTTGATGATGGTTTTTAAGCTACTGGTCCCCATCAGTGAGGGGATTTAGACATGAGAAGCAGCAAAGACTTCTGCAGTTATGGAGTGGGATGCAGAGGAAAATGTAGGAAATCAACTGGAGGGGTTAAACCTGCCTCTTCGGTGTACTCATCAGTAGTGTGCTACAACTGAGCATGACCTGCCAAAACTGCCAGACAAGCAAAATGGGGAAGAGAGAGGAAGAGAAATGTAACCAGAGATGCATACTTGGAAAAAAAAAATTGCTACAGCAGAGCTGGTTGGTGTAGGCACTGCTCCAGTGTGAGGTGGAGCTCCACATGGCAGGGTCTTCTCAGTGCAGATTAGGAGCTGACCTGCTGGAAAGCAGCTCTCCAGAGGAGAGTCCTGGTGGACAACAAGTTGACCATGAGGCAGCAACGTGTACTTGTGCCCAAGAAGGCCAATGGTCTCCTGGGGTGCATTCAAAAGATTGTGGCCAGCAGGTCAAGGGAGGTCATCCTCCCTCTCTGCTCTGCCCTGGTGAGCCCACGTCTGAAGTACTGTGAAGTTCTGGGCTCCCCAGTTCAAGAAAGACAAGGAACTACTGGAGAGAGTCCAGGAGAGGGCTACAAAGATGATCAAGGGAATGAAGTACCTCTCTAATGAGGAAAGGCTGAGGGACCTGGGTCTGTTTAGCCTGGAGAAGACTGAGAAAGGATTTCATCAGTGCTGCCCCCCTCCAGTACCATTGCCTGTCTGGGTAGCTTGGGCTAGGCCACTGAGCGGGCAGGGCAAGGAACAACCCAGATGTCCCTCCTTCATGCTCTTTTTGCAGTTGGCATTTTTCTCCTTTCATAGAATCATATGGGGTTGGAAGGGACCTCTGGAGATCATCAAGTCAAACTCCCGACCAGAGCGGGTCTACCTAGAGCAGGTTGTACAGGATCTTGTCCAGGCGGGTTTTGAATGTCTCCAGAGAAGAAGACTCCACCACCTCTTTGTGCTCTACCACTCTCACAGTAGAGAAGTTCCTCCTCATGTTTAGGTGGAACTTCTTATACTCAAGTTTGTGCCCATTTCCTCTTGTCCTATCACTGGGCACCACTGAGAAAGACTGCTACCAGACTTAAAAGGATGCTCTGCTCCGTGTCTGACACTGTCAGCCCCAAAGGGGTCCAGCGCTGTTTATTTTCCGGCATCTGAGAGTGGACACACAGACACGTGTATGTGCAGGTGTGTACAGGCAGGGGGTCCACATGGTGTATGAAGGAAACACAGATGCAGACAGACACACAGACAGGCAAACAGAGCCAGTTGTAGCCCTGAAAAGCTTCCCATGGACAATATTAGAAGGAGCAAACAGATGAACACTGGTTCCAACCCAAATTTCCTATGAACCTACTACACTTCAGATGCTCAAAAAAACCACCCAGCTGAGCGTGATGATAACAGGAATCACAGAATGGTCAGAATTGGAAGGGACCTTAAAGATCATTGAGTTCCATCCCCCCTGCCATGGGCAGGGACACCTCCCACTAGAGCAGGTTGCTCAAAGCCCCATCCAGCTGGTCTTGAACACTTCCAGGGATGGGGCATCCACAGCTTCTCTGGACAGCCTGTTCCAGTGTCTCACCACCCTCACAGGAAAGAATTTCTTTCTGGTATCTAATCTAAGTCTCTCCTCTTCCAGTTTAAAACCATTACCCCTTGTCCTGTCACTACAGGGAAGAAATCCCACAGATTTAGAGGTCAGGTTGCACAGTATCCATGGCCTCTCTCACGGAAAAGATGAAATTACCCCCACCCCCCGCATGTTTTGCCCAGGCCGGGGCAGCTCTCCCTCCCGCGGCAGCCATGGCAGAGGGCTCCGAGAAGGTGCCCATCGCCCGAGCGGGGCCCGAGGATGTGGAGCAGTGCTTGCCCCCCGTGAGTGCTGCCCTGCCTGACGGGACGAGACGGGATAGCATGGGGAAGAAATCCCACAGATTTAGAGGTCAGGTTGCACAGTATCCATGGCCTCTCTCACGGAAAAGATGAAATTACCCCCACCCCCCGCATGTTTTGCCCCCACTGATCGCACAGGGGGGGTTTTGCAGAGCAGTCACCGAGCAGCAGCTCGTCAGCCCCAGCGCCCTCCAATTCCTGCAGCAAGTGTAAAAAAATAAAGCACTTAAAAGTCCTGTTTCTATTTTAAAAGCTGCTTTTTACGACAGCCGCCTGTCTGTTGGGGCAATTCTCTCCCCAGCGGCATGGGGGGGTGGGGGGGGTATCTCCTACACCCTCCTAACTTGCCCATCCCCAAAACTGGAGACAAGCCCCGGGGTGGGGGGG